AGTGCTCTTCTCCTCTCTAGCAGATCCTTGGTGGCTTTCGAAATTCGTTCCAAGTTTCTTGTGCGAGGCACTGAGGCGCTTTCACCACAGGCTCTCAGTCCTCTAAGAAACAGATCGTAGTCTTTCGTCGGGTCCTCCTGTCCGAGGAGGACACGAGGAGGTGTACTTTCACCTATAATGTAAGTGACTCTTACTAAGTTTTACAAATTTGCCACCTTCCAGAAACAAAAAAATTTTGACTGGAATTTAAAAATCTACGTCAATATCTACGCATATACTTCACACAGTGCACCTATATATGTAAGCGAATCTTAATAAATTGTACAAAAACTTTTACCAAATCCTTTTAACTCCTTATATTTTGCTAGCAAGATAAGACATTGTAATGTGTTGGCATTTGAGGTAAAAATTTTCCGAGCGCTACCTTTATACTAAAAAAATGTGGACAGAGCCTGGATCTACCGTGTCAGATTAGGATTTCTGACAGAGTCTACGAAAGCAACTCAGATGATACTCTTCTTCAATATTTAAAAACTTCAATGCAATGAACTTTAACAGTTGGATCGGAAAAGTGCCCCCAATGACCCAGTTATTCAAATAGGGCAACCATCGACGAAACTATTCAAATGCAGAGACCAGTCAATTAACTCTCTGAGATTGAATATTGAAGGAACGATCCAATTTGGGATGTACTTTGAGGCACACAATGACTATTTTTTAAACTGCAGAAACTGGCTGGAATAATAAGGATATCCAAGGAATACACTCGATATAATTTGTAAACGATATAGTTTCTCATACGATCTGGATGTCAGCTGTTCTGTATGAACCACATAGCTATTGACAATTGGAAATTCATCAGCAAAAATGATCAAAATAATCATTTTATCATTTGTAGTTGCTGCCGTGGTTCAAGCAGGGATTAATTCCAATGAACCGTACACATTCCTTTTTGAGGTTCAATTCGAAAAAATGTTGTGAGGGAACAGAACAACTAAATTTTGACGAAACATTTTTGGTGCCTCAATAGTTGACAGGAGCTTTGTTTTCAACAGATTAACGGTTAATCAAGAATACTTACTGCACTCAAGAAGTATGACTCTGAATGACTGTCAGTTAATGTTGCAGACAGTATGGAAGGTATTCTGCGTGTTTATATTGGCCTTTTTGCGAAGCGCCATTTCCTACCTATCCTTCTAGACCTTCCATATACAGGTACGAATCAACTTTGTCATGGTTTGAAAATGAAGGGAAAGTAGCCCCAGAAAATGAGTGCTGACGTTTTCAAAATCTCAGAATCAGATTATTTGAGTCGACTCTGAAAAAAGATCTTCTTTCTTTGGCACCAAGGAACTTTCTTTTTTATTGAGAATTTTGCAGTATAGAATCCTTTTTAGAGCGTGGAAAGATTTCCGTCCATTGACAGAATGGAAGAGAGATGTTGATACGATAGTTGACTTGTTCACAAGAACAAAGGAGCCAGTTAACTTTGTAGCATGGTAAATTTGAACAAAACTGTTCTTGATAGCTTTAAGAAACTTGGAACTTCAGGTATATTGCTGAGCCAGACCATGCTTTGCATGTCAACGGCTACTATAACTTCGAATTTGAAAAAATGCTTAGCCAGCTTGATAACCTATTTGGGTACTTTCTAGAAAAAATGGATAGGGCTGGTCTGACTAATGAAGTCAATATTATTTTCACGGCAGACCATGGACACACGCAGGTTTGAGATCTGATAAGAGATGAGATTTGATA